GCTAGCTTTGGCTAATCTTGTAATGATCTGGACATACTACAGTTTAAAGATCATCTATAGGCAGCCCATCTTAATAATATTGACCGTTTATATTTGTTGAACCTTTGTGCACTTGGTTTACTAGTTTACTGTGAACATGGGGAAAACCTGGGTTTTTACGTCAAAGCTAGAGAATAATGACATTTGGTTTGAATAAGAACTTACAACTGATACTCACTGTGTAAAGGCTCTTAAATAAAACAACAAAGCTAGTTAGAGTGTTTAAAGTTCAAAATTTCGTCATGCACAGAAATTCAATAGTAGCAGAGGAGTTCGTGTTGTATGATATTTATTTGGTACCACTCCAACTTCACTGGTTAGGTAGAGGGAGGATATTATCACTCGTAGTTTGAAACATAGATCCAGTATCATGTCCATGCAAATACTTGATTCAATTTTCTTTCCTCATTTTATTGATGCTTTGAATGACTCAGGTTGGAGCATGGAGAGACAGGATCATTATATGCACTGGTTTATATGGCCTTACTCCGGCTCTCATTAAGGCCTTTCTAGACTCTGGTGCGAAAGCTGTTGTATGCTCTTCAAATGAACCCCCGGAACCTCTCTTGACCAATTTTGACGGTTCTCAGGAGATGAATGCGTTGGGAAATGGAAAGTTTGAAATTGGAGAGGATGAAGTGGAAGATGAGACTGAACTTGAAAGTCCATTAAGTGACTGGGAAGATAGTGATGCAGAAAAAAATGGGGAACAGACTACATATTTATATGATGACAACGAGGGGGAACTGTCACAATTTGTCTGTCAATTGTATGAATCGTTGTTCCGGAAGGGTGCTGGTATCAAGGTTGCTCTGGAACAGGCTCTCACCTCACACCGAAGGTTAGGGTACGTGTGCCATCTCTCAAGCATACAATGATTTGTTCCCTTGCACTAAACAAAAAACACACACACACAGACGTTGAACATAATCTTATAGAGGTACAGTGGATGCCTAATTTTGAGGCATAAAATGACGTAAATAAGGAGGCACGTGAAATAGTCTCATGTTTCTTTTTAAATCTCAATGGTGATGGCTTTGTAATTTAACGTTGTCAATCTTGTAACTCTGCTGAAGCATAGACCCTGCCTCGCCCACATTGTAGTACTGGCAAGAACAGAGGTGGCCTAGCCTTCTACTTTCTCTTGAAGAAGTGTATATTCTTTTGTGCATATGGTTCAATTTCACAGGCGTGGGAAAATGATCCCATGTATTCACAAAAGAAAGCATGAATTCACAAAAGAGTGATTCATCATAGAAAATTATAATTTGGTTCCTGAACATTTTTCTCTGCACTGTTTAATATTTTAGTCCCTATCATGAACACGTGGCATGGCGACATCCAGCAATAACTGACGTGTTGTTGGAGGATGGATTTGTCCTAACTGGATTAAATGAACTTCAACAAATGTGTTGTCGGACTCATTTTTTTCTTGGTGGGAATGGGGGAGTTTGTATTCAAACCTAGGATGGAGTTTGAGTTTTATCTATACAACAACAACAACAACAACAACAACAAGCCTTTATCCCACTAGGTGGGGTCGGCTACATGGATTGCAAGACGCCATTGTGCTCTATCATTTATTAAGCTTTTAGAAATATTATTAATTAAGAGATCACGTTCAACAACTTCCAAGAGTGTTCTCTTAGGCCTTCCTCTACCTCTCTTAATCGGACTCAAAGTTATATGTTCCACTCTTCTCACTGGTGCCTCCCTTGGTCTTCTTTGTACATGCCCAAACCATCTCAACCGATTTTCTACCATTTTTTCCTCAATAGGTGCCACCCTCACTTTTTCACGTATGTGCTCATTTCGAATTTTATCTTTACGTGTATGTCCGCACATCCATCGTAACATTCTCATCTCTGCTACTCCAACTTTATGCTCTTGCTGTCCCGTTAGAGCCCAGCATTCACTACTATATAACATTGCCGGTCTGATAGCAGTACGATAAAACTTTCCTTTAAGTTTATTAGGCACCCTACGGTCACAAATAACTCCTTTAGCTTTTCTCCAATTAAACCACCCAGCTTGAATTCTATGTGAAATATCTCCACTGATTTCGCCATCATTTTGAATAATGGCTCCCAATATCTAAACTTTTCCACTTGAGGTATAATTTGATCTCCCAATTTCACTTCGAAATTATTTTCGAATAGTCCTTTACCAAATTTACAATATAAATATTCCGTCTTACTTCTACTCAGACGAAAACCTTTTGACTCCAATGTCCTCCTCCATAACTCAAGTTTGCAATTAACCTCTTCTCTTGTCTCTGCTATAAGAACTATATCATCCGCAAAGAGCATACATTTCGGGATTTCCTCTTGAATATGTTCCGTCAAAACATTTAAAATCAAGTTGAACAAATAAGGACTCAGAGATGATCCCTGATGTAGTCCAATCTTTATAGGAAAATCCTTTGTTTGACCACTAGGCGTTCTTATACTAGTTTTTACCCCCTCATACATATCTTGTATGGCTTTAATATAAGCAATCCGTACTCCCTTTTTTTCCAACGCTTTCCAAAGCACTTCTCTTGGTATACGGTCATAAGCTTTTTCCAAATCAATAAAAACCATGTGTAGATCTTTATCTTTACAACGATACTTTTCCATTAATCCCCTTAGTAGATAAATCGCCTCTGTAGTTGATCTACCTGGCATAAAACCAAATTGATTCTCAGAAATACTTGTCTCCAATCTCAACCTGTGCTCAATTACTTTCTCCCACAATTTCATTGTGTGGCTCATGAGTTTAATCCCTCTATAGTTAGTACAATTCTGAATATCTCCTTTATTTTTATAAATAGGAATTAATGTACTTCTCCTCCACTCATCAGGCATTTTCTTGGACCGTAAAATCACATTAAATAACTTAGTTAACCATCTCACCCCTTCTTCACCTAAACATTTCCACGCTTCGATAGATATACAATCAGGTCCGTTAGCTCTACCATTTGCCATTTTCTTAAGAGCTTCCTTTACCTCCTTATCACGTATTTTTCGATAGAATGACAAAATTTTGTTCTCCTTCACCAGTTACTAAATCCTCCAAGTTACTAGATGAATCCTCTCCATCATTGAAAAGTTTAGAAAAATAAGTCTCCCATCTATTTTTAATTTCATCATCTGTAACTAAAATTCTTCCCTCTTCATCCTTAATACACCTTACCTGTTCTAGATCTCTTGATTTTCTTTCCCTACTCTTGGCAATCTTATAAATATTTTGCTCTTTTGAGTTTTATCTATGTTGCAATTTTTTGTAGTTCAATTGATCCAATCATGCCAATATATAATCCTGATTGGTATTGCAACATAGAACTTCGGAGTTGGGATGCAGTGTTGTATTACTTGAAAAATCTTAATTTTTGAATATATAAATTAAAGTTGACTTGAACAAATGGAGAGAAGGGGGGGTAGATGCCCTTATGAGTTATAACTCGGGTATCTAGATCGGCCCAAATTGTTAAGGTTGGACTTAATTACATATATGCACTTTTTGATGTTTGGTATATTGTATGCCAATTTGAATCTACCTAAATTATCACCTCTAGTTAGAAGAGAGCCATACCGGGGGAAAAAAATCAATGAAGACAGGAACAATAGGACTCCCTCACCACGTCTTTAGCCAGGCATGAAAGGTGGGGATAACGTATGAAAAATGTAGGATTAAGCTGTTGTAGAACTTTTTTCTATTTGTCAAGATATTATTCAGGGGAAAAGCCAACAGAAAAGTTGTAAACAAAACTGACTTCATGGGAATTAGTTGTAATTGATTAGTGAGGAGTTAGAATAATTTAAGGGAGCTTGAGGTTCAAGACATTGAAAGGAGATCCACGTCATATGCAATATGATCATTACACTTGGGTGTACAAGAAGCAATTCATAATATTCTCTCTGACCTTATATATAAAAGTTTCAATACTTTCTTCAAACCATAATATAAAACATCTTTTATAAATCTTATTTAATTTAAAATATAAAACATTAGGTAATTTTTATAATTATTTTTTTCAATGATACCCTCACTCCATTTATTACTTTTTTAAAAAAAAATGTTACCTTCAAATTTTACTTATCATTGTCAAGATAATTATGAAGGGTATTTAATGAGAGTATAATTGAAAAGATGCAAAAAAAATTTTCAAAAATTAAAGTTTCAACTACCATTTTGTAAAATATATTTTGATTAAGAGGGAGTATTTTTTATTGAACCAAGCTTGAAAGTTATTAGTTCTATCTATAAATTTAATAAGTTTTAAATTTAGCATCAGTTAAATATAAAAGTTTTAATAACATACTTTTCTCTCACCCACATTTAATGAAGGGTAAAAGAAAAAACTTGTAATAAAAAATTATCAACTAACATTTTGTGAGAATTGTGAATTAGTTACCAATACCATATATTTCTTCCAGTCCTATTTATAAGGTAAAGAAAGAATAATTTTTTTAGGTCTATTTATAAGTTATGTCATTAAATTTTCATAATAAATTTTTTTCTTTTACCCTCCAATATTTAATGAAGGGTAAAAGAAAAGAAAAAAATTACAAACAAGTTCCACATGAGGAAATTAATTATTAAAAAGTCTGTTAACAATTGATTGTCAATAGCCTTAGTTCAGTTGTCAATGAATCTTATAATAATTAATTTTATTATATAAGACTTCAAGGTAATTCACCCAAAGAAAAAACTTGTAATAAAAAATTAATGATGTTATTTATAAATAACACCAAGAAAATTCTTGCTCTTCGCCTTGTGAACAGGACAGGAGGGAGTATGGCTTTAGAAGTCAAAAGGGTAAGTATAATGTCCAGGTTAAAAAAAAAAAAAAAGGCAAATTCCGTTGCAGAAACAAGGAGAATATGATAATCGTGTCCCTTTTCAAAGTTTCAATCATGGTAAATGAAGATGCTCCCAATCGAAAATTAAATTTAGACCTATGATTCTATGATCCAAACTTTCACCATCTATAATTCTCCTTCATACCTTTCATCTCAACAACTAAATATTACACTAGAAAAGTAGAGTTACAGTCTCCAAATTCCAAGATAAAAAATGGCTGTTTCTCCTGCTCCTATTGCTATGGGCACAAGGAGCAGCTTTGGAACTTTACTGAAGAAGGAAATTAAGTACTGCACCAAGTTCGAGTTAAGAAGGCTAGGAAGTTCTCAGAAAGCTCAGCCATATATCGTAGTCACAATTTCTTGCAGAGCCTATTCCCAACCCAACTTCTTAGTCTTGATTTTATGACTTGGAATAGGAAGGAGAGAAGATACACAACTGCAGAAAACAATAATCGATTTAAACAGAATTCCTAGTTACAACTTTCAGCTATAATGCAAGTATTTCTCCGGAGTTAACTAAATTTGTTTTCCCTTTGTATCACAATCAAGTAGTGTTTGGTACTGTTTGCATGCAATTCAATTAATCCACTTCTCTAATCCAGTGAGAGGCAGGTAATTCATACAAAAATTAAGGGGATTGCGAAGAAATTCCTAGTGACTTTACCCCCAAGAAATTGACAAGATTTAATACTTAATCACACATCACATGCTTGTTTTCACCATCAAACCAGCCGTTGAAGTTGTTTCATGCGTCAGTTTGCACTTGCATTGAGACCAACTCTTGAAGCTTATTATGCTTTTTTTCAGATTGCGTTGCGAGAGTTGGATAATTTCTCATTTTGAAGATCAAATTGTCAAGCACTCTAGCAACTCTTTCTAAAGCATGTAGCACTTTTAGCTTCACATGTGCACGCGCACGCGCATACATTATCAGATCTAACACCCCTCTGCAGTTATTAGCAAAAGAGTTCATTTACATCTATCAACATATTTGCAATTTACTTCAATTTAAAAGGTGAAATAAAAGCATGAAAAAATACAGATAAAAAAGAAGAAATAAGATTAAACATGGGGAACCTCACTCATTGAAAGACTAATAAGATATAATTGATCTCAAAATTTGTGGAACTCATAAATCGTAATCTAGGATATTTGATTTATCAAGGTGATTTGATATTTGTCTATCCATGCCACTTGATTATTATACTTGCTGCATATTTAAAAGTTACCCTACCATCGCTTGCTATAAATTTTACAGTTAAGCATAGGTAAATTTTACCTCTGGTTCGTAATGCCAGTCTAGTTTTGCATGAAACTCCAGTTTTTGGTGATGACTCTACATCTGTTGGTCTTTTTAGTGTGCTCTAAATGATTCAATGTGGCTAGCAGTTCTGACCATGGATCCAGGTGTTCTCATAATTCTCTATCTTTTGGCTTTGTTAGAAGCTCTAGCGCTTCCACAACCTCACCCATTGAAGGTCTTGCCTCAGCTTCCTCTTGCAGGCACATTGCTGCCACTGCAAGAGCTTGAAACAGGCTCTTCTCAGGGTAGCTACCCTCAAGCAAGGGGTCAGCCATTTGCGTAAACTTGCTTCTGTCCTTAAACAGAGGTTGTGCCTGCGAAAATCAGAACACAGAAAACCTCAAGTGCCTTATTTGAAGATTACTGTTCTAACCATAAAACTTTCGAGGAAAAAAAGGCACTGGCATAAGATCATTGGAAAACCATTTTGTGTTTCATGTTTAACCCCATTTTACGCCCACAACAGCTCTTTGTTGAAGTGAAACTGATTCATCACTTGTTAAAAGGGAGAAAAATGGCAACATACCCATTGAATTAGGTTCTGCTCGTCTGCTGATCTTGCAACGTCAATAACTCTTCTGCCAGAGATTATCTCCAAAAGCACAACACCAAAGCTATAAACATCAGACTTGCTCGTTAGCTGCCCCGAGGCAGCATACTCTGGTGCACAATAGCCATAGGTTCCCATGACCCTTGTAGTGATATAAAGTTGACCTTGTGTTGGGCCCATTTTTGCCATTCCAAAATCAGAAAGCTTGGGATTGAAATCGTCATCTAACAGTACATTAGATGCTTTGAAATCACGGTATATTACTTTTGGCTCAGCAATTTCATGTAGATACTCAAGCCCTCTCGCAGCTCCCTCAGCTATTTTCATCCTCATATCCCAAGACAAATGCTTCTTATTTGGAGCTAACTCTGACACACACAACTTTTATAAGTAAAAGGCCATCACATCAATTCAAAAGCTGTTTATAAAAACACATAAATAATGCTATTATTTTATAATGATCTCTTATGCGTCTTCTTACCTAGGAGATGATCTTCTAGACTCCCCTGGGGCATGTATTCGTAGATTAAAATCCTGTGGTCGTCTTCAACACAATAACCAATCAAATTGACAAGGTTTGGATGCTTCAACAAGCTCAACATCAAAACCTCTGAAATAAATTCTCTAGTTCCTTGCCTTCCTTGCCTGTCCAGTTGCTTCACAGCCACAACCTGAAATCCAAACGTGGAACGCCTGATAAATCCAGCCTGTACAAGACTCCAGCAGAAAAAAGAAAAATATCTGTCAAGGAAAAGAGACAGAAAGAGACTTGATCAATATTTTGTATGCGTCCTTTGTAGACAACCCCAAATCCCCCCTCGCCTATTCTGTGTTCATCGCTGAAACCGTCAGTTGCATCACCGAGTTCTTTGTATGTGAAAACCTTGGCTTCATTTTGTACAGTTCCATGTTTTTGTATCTCAGCGGTTATCCTTCTCTGCCTGCTGCTACCTGCAGTTACGGAAAATTCAATCACTCACCTGCATTTCCCATCAGGACCATTTCTCATCGATTTTTCACAATTAATTTCTGCAAAACATCAACGTACAAAAAAGGTCAACTATTCAAGCATACCGCAGCAATTAATTAACGCACCTGTCTTGAGTGAAATAGTAGAAACAATTGATTTGAATGTAATGGATTTCAATTCGGCCCTGCGTTTCGAAAAATCTGTTGGACCATCTGTATTGACGACTTTCTCATTCGGAGTAATGCACCATAAGAAGCAACCCATTTTTCCTCTTTAAATCCTCCCGAACAAACCCAGTTGATAAAGTTTTTAACAATAATAATAATAATAACAAGAAGATATTATTATTATTATCATCGTCAAAAACTTCTACTGAGAAACCCAGAACTAGATGGATCAACACATGGGTCTCAAACAAGATAGATCTAATGGCTCCTAAGATCATGTCAATTTTAAATATATTGGCACTTTGTGTGGGGGAAACACGATCCTCCCAAGTTTAGTATGGCTTGTTTTTAAAGAAAGTTACTTGAAATGGATTGACTATAACCTCGGTTAATTTTAGCTTATTATTCACACGCTTTTGGACATTAAAATTTAACAATAAATATCTTAAAATTTTCATCAGGCACTAATTTGTAATTTCCCAAAAATATTGGAAAATGTGACTTTTTTTCACGTGATCTTTCCAGCCCTATTTATAACAAGTGATTTATAATTACCTTATCAAAATTAAGAAAATGTAGTTAAATTATTGACATTATTTAAAAGAGAAAGAAATTTTTATAATTTACCCTTATTAATTACATCATTTTAAATGTATTTTCTTACTCATTTAACTTTTTATTTTCTAGTCATAAAAAAATATGAAAGAATAACATTAGATAAAAATAATTAATGAAATACCTTTTATATAAAATGACTTATAAAAAATGGACTATAAATTTAGTCTAAAATATGACTTATATAAAACCTTGGAAATAATCCCTTTTCGAGAGTTCTTATAACTTAGACCAACCCACATTGCTATTAATATGATACTTTGATAATAAATAAATTAAGTTCAAAACTAAGAAATGAAAGGACGAAATTACTTGGAAAGAAATCTCATGTCTACCTCTTTCTAGAGCTGCCCTAAGGGCAAACCACCACCTCATCCTGACACCAACTGCTGAAGAAAGAAAGTTAAAATTTGCTTAGAGATACATAAGGTCGACGATGATGTGGAAGCTGAATACTCCCTTCAATCCTCAAATGAGGAGAGGCTCATCCCTATTATTCTTTCCCCCGTGATGGTTCTGGAAATACAAGAAGAGCTGCTGACATTGTGATGATTGCTAAAGAACCAAAGTCTACGTGTGCAATACCATCTTTCAAAGATAAGCTCCTTTAAGGCAACGCTAAGCTCAATGCAGAGGTTGACATCAAACTGGGGCAAGGTGATTTGGTAATTAGTATGCGTGATGGGATTCCTTCAATTAGTTTTCTAAGCGAGTGCTTAAAGTTCTTAATGAGAGAATTAGTCTTGCTATTGTTATCAAGCTTCTCCAATGAAGAATTAGCTATGAGTAGCTGAAAACATAGTTGCAGAACATTTAGAAGTACACTGGATAATTTCAGCTTAGTAACCTAGATGAAAAATGTTTCTTCGTCAAGTTCAAGGAGCGGTTAGACTACCAGAAAGTTCTACTTAGTAAACCTAAACTTATTTTTGGTCATTACTTCTTGATGCAATTATGGACTCCATCTTTTAAGCCATAAGATTGTGTTATAAATTAGGTGGGTGGTTGGGTTCAATTGCCTGCTTTACCTTCTAAGTATTATCACAAAAATATCATACGTTCAATTGACAAACTTTACAGGCAAGTTACATAGTAGAGTATAACTCATAATTCAAAGATCAGGTAAGTTTGTAACACTTGCTAATATTATCAATTTCACAAAGCCATTAACGTCTAAACTTGTGGTTGATGGTGAAGTTATTTACATGGAATACGAAGGCCTCCCTCATTTGTTTCCATTGTGGTTGCTATGGCTACCTTGAAGATCATTGCTAGGAGAAAAGGTACGATAAGAATGCCAAACAAGAGGACATCAATGTTGGTCAAGGTATTGCCACTACCTCAAAATTTGATGTTCTGAACATGTCAAGAGATATGGAGAAGCTACGGCATGATGTGTAAGATTATGTCAAACCTACTGATAACAACGGTGACAATAATTACAGGCGCAAAGTGAAACAGACAAAAACCCCAAAGAAAAGGAAGGCTAAACACAAACAACAAAAGCTTCATAACCCAGGTCCTAGCAAGGAAAGCATCTTTCAAACCACTCCCCACAAAGCCATTCAAGCCCAACCATCTCTAGACAAGGCCCACAATCCAGTCACCCACATCCCAGTCCTTTTGGGCCACAATGATGTAATCATGGCCCAATTCTCACCTAATGATCAAGTGGCCCCGTAACCTAAGCCACTAGACTCAAATGTGAACAAAAGAGGTTTTAAACTTTCTTTTGGGACACGTGTTCAACACTTTTAGGAAAGGTTACTTCACCAAGCCCTTGTGTCCGTGCTATAAAGGAGATTGCTTATGGTACTCAGCAAGATCAAGGTCTAGATGACAACAATGAGGCAATTGACATACTAGTAAAAGTAGTTGACTTCAGCTCGACACTTAAGCAATGATTTTATTATTTTTTATGTCAAATGTCACTTGGAATTGCTAAGGAGCCTTAGATGAAAGGCTCCCCTCTACTGTGAAATCTTATGCTGCTAACTATAGACCTGATATTTTTGTTATTGTAGAGTCTTGAATTTCAAGCCTTAAAGTTGATAAAGTTATCAAGAAAATTGGATTTCAACACTCTCACAAAGTTGAAGCTATAATATTCTCTGATGGAATCTAGATCTTTTAGACATATAAAGTAGATATCCAAATCTTACATAATCACCAGCAATTTGTTCATTAAAAAATTAGAGTTTTCTTTGCAAATAAAAAAAATTATTTACTACTATTTATGGGAGCCCTTAACCCCAATTTCAAAAGTTCTTGTGGAAGGATTTGACTAATACTACTTCAACCTCTACTCATCCCTGGCCCTTTTCTGGCGATTTCAGTGCCACCATTAATCGTGATAAGAGAAGAGGTGGATACGGGCGTGACGACCATGGATGTGCTCTTTTTAAAACCTTTTAGAATTTAATGAGATCATCGATTTGGGCTTTAATAGCCTTAAATTCACTCGGCAACATGGCACCTTGTTAGTTAGACTGGACAGAGCTATTTGCAATGCCTCTTGGATTTCCTTATTACACTCAACCTTTATTGAACATCTACCAAAAATGCTCTCAAACCTTAGGCCCATTTAATCCAACTGGACCTTAATAATCAACCCACACTTACTAATAAGCCCTTCAGGTTTATTGCTTCTTGGATCACGTATCCAAATTTTGCAAACTTGGTTTAAAGGTGCGAGACCCCGGACCATGATATTATCAATGACATTCGTGAGTTTATAGCTGAGGCTACTCAATGGAACGCTCAAGTATTTGGGGATATTGAAAAGCGGAAGAGGAAATTGCTGGCGTGACTCTCGGGTTTCAGAAAAAGCTTGAAAAGGTGAAAACTCTCCCTTCTCAAAATTCTTACTTGACCTTGATTGTTCTTTACAAGCTAGATTTGAGGATGTTTGCCTTTAGGAAGAACTCCTATGGATCCAAAAATTCTCTACAAAATGGCTCTGTATGGGAGATTGGAACACCATATTCTACCACACAAAAGCCTTAATTCATCACCTAAAGAATCATATATCCGAGCTCAAGAACGAAAATGGAGTCGGGCTTCCTGATAAACAACAACTAGTGGATTTGGCATGAAATTATTTCGCAAAATTATATACATTGGAAGACTCTGGTTTTACACCATTTCCAATCATACGTGCATTCCCCAAAGTACCGAAGGAATCTCTTATTATTATGGATAAAATGGTCACCTTCGAAGAGGTCAAACAAGCTTTATTTGAGATAAAGCCCTTAAAAGCCTCAGGAATAGATGGGCTACATGCCCTTTTCTTTTAGAATCAGTGGGAACTTGTGGGTAAAGGGCCTTTTGAATTTGCGTGTGATTTCTGGCTTGGCAAACTCTTACACCAAACTCTAAACCTTATTCTTATAGCTTTAATTCCTAAAGTCGTCCCCAAACCTCAATATATCTGAGAATTCCACCCCATCAGTCTCTGTTCAATAGTTTACAAAGTTGCAACAAAAGTAATTGCCAATCGCCTCAATGCCATCATGTTAGACATTATCCTGCCGAATCAAACTAGTTTCATTTGGGGCAAGAACATTGTAGATAACATCATCATAGCTCAAGAGGTAATGCACTCTATGAGAAAGAAGAGAAGTTAAGGGGATGGATGGCTATAAAAGTAGATTTGGAAAAAGCTTTTGATCAACTTAAATGGGACTTCGTTGAGGATACACTTCAAAATGCAGGCTTGCCAAAAACTCTAATCAAGTTTATAATGACTTGCATTACTACTCCTTCTATGCAAGTAATTTGGAATGGTAAACTTTTGCAACATTTTCCCCGAGTAGAGGCATTACAAAAGGTGATCCTCTCTCACCTTACCTCTTCATCCAATGCATGGAATGTTTATCACAAGCCATCATTGCAGAAGTTAGAAAAGGAAATTGGCACACTACCAAGTTTAGGAGACAGAGTGTTCCCCTTTCCCGCCTCTTTTTGGTCGATGATTTAATTCCTTTGGTGATACATCTACTACTCAGATTAAAACTGTTCAGTGAGTTCCAAATCAGTTTTGCATCTCCTCTGGTCACAAGGTGAGTCATTCTAAAACTCACATTTATTTCTCCAAGAATGTTGATACTGCTTATCGTAACATGGTTTGTCAAGCCTTGGGTTTCCAGCACACTGAGTGCCTCGGTTGTTATCTAGGGGTTCCTCTAATTAATGGCCGAGTGACTACTAGAACTTATAGCTACATTTTACATAGATTGTTAGCTAAAACTCGCAGGCTGGAAGAGTAAGTCTTTATCCTTGGCAGGATGTGTAACTTTGTCTTAGTTGGTTCTGTGTTCAGTACCCTTCTATACCATGCAGAGTACTCTGTTACCTTCCTCTTGCCATAATGCAATTGAAGAGCTGATTCGTAAGTTTATATGGGGATACACTGACACTAAGCCGGGCATCAGCTTGGTCAAATGATCTGATCTTTGCCAACCGTTATCCAATAAACGCTGTGGACTCATTAAGTTGGAACCACAAAACAAGGCTCAGTCCAAAATTGCTAAAAAAATAGTGGCTAAACCAAACCTACTATGGGTGAGACTTTTGAGAGGTAAATATCAAATTCGAGATACTCTTCCTCTGGACATTGGTAAGCATTCATCGTCTCATTTCTGGAGGAACCTTGCTGCCATATGGTCAAATACAATGATGCAGATTAAATGGACACCAGCTAATGGGCGCAACATTAGGTTTTGGTCAGACTATTGGGTGGGTGACTTATGGCCTTTATGACATCTCTCCTTTGCTGATATACCTAATCAGACTATGTGGATTCTAATGGGCAATGGAGATGGAATCTGTTCCAACATCTTCCGCGGGCTATCCTTGACCAAATCAAAGGAATCACAATTGAAACCAACTCTCCTATGCGCCTGACTTGCTTCTGGAATCTCAACAGAGATGGCAAATTTAGTGTTAAATCAGCCTACCAAGTAGCTTCTTCTCTAAACTGGAATGATGTTGATATCAAGTCGAAACTCATTTGGAAGCTCCCTGCGGCTCAACGTGTTCGTACCTTGTAATGGCTTTTGCTTAAGGAGTGATTACTCACCAATGCTGAACGTTTCCCTAGAAAGATGACACATGACCAACACGGTTGACTCTGCCACAGTCCCATAGAGCACATAGATCACACCTTCAAGGATTGTCCCCTGGCTGCAAAGCTTTGGAGGAAGGTGCTCACATCTGATATGCTTGCTGATTTTTATGACAAGGGTTTTATCTCTTGGCTTGCTGGCATCTTTAAGTCGCCACAACTGGACCTCTTCTGGCAAGTTGGTATTAGTGTTCTGACATGGAAATTATGGGAAGCTCGCAATTGTTGGATTGTTGCAGCGGAAATCATTGATGAGAACCATTTTTCAGTGCACCTTAAGGCTATAATTAACCATACTCGGTAATTTTTGCACTATTAATTCCTTGATGTAATCTTCTTTATCTTTGTTTCCTCTGTACAGATGTTTCATCATTAGAATTTCCCCTTTCACTCAAACAAAAAAAAAAAAAGAAATGGAAGGATGAAGCAACATGTTTTTTAGGGTCAAAAACTAACATGATTTAAACAAACAAATTGACAATGCTCATGAATATCGTGCGATATTTCTTTCTATTGAAACTTGGTTGAGAAGTGATGCATTTTGTGTATTTAGACATGCATAGAAAAAGTGCACTTGCCTTTAATATTTATAATTGCACTTCATGTTGTGTATTTATAATGGATATGCTTCTTAGCAATAAATAAAATAAAAAATTTAAAGCAAGAACTTATTGAATGGGTTATTTTATCACTTTTTTTCCAAACCATCATAGCACTTCTCCCTTTATATTTGAACATATAATGGACAAAGACTGTTTTTTAATTGTTTGTTTTGATCATGCCCATTTCCATAATATCAACTTCTTAATAAAAATATCAATTGCACAAGCAAAAGTCTTAAAGGAAAATTCATTTCAAAAATTTAGCTTGTTAAATAGGAAAGTTTTTTAAACTTATATGTGAAATTTCATGAGGTGGGACTCAACATAACTTCCTTCACATTTTAGTCAAAAAAATAGATGGGAGCAAAGTAGTTTGATTGAATTGGAAATCAGTTGTTTTTCTCCCGTTACATGTTAATAGTTGAATTCTAAGTTTCTAATTATTGCATACCTTGTTCTTCACTCTCAATATTTAAGCTGTATGTTACGGGCTGAGAGTCTGGCGCAGCACACGGCGCCCGTGCGGCGTCCTGGAGGACCCCATAATCCTCAGGACAAGCCTTACCACATACGGATCACACTGGTTTCGTCCTGCCATGGGCTCATCAGAGAGGCGGCACTAGCCCCCGACCAGTTGTGCACACAGTCCGAAGACTGAGGCAGAACACCCCCAATGCTAATGTCACCCCCTTTACCCATATTGTGCGAGGCTAACCAGCGGATCGTTCATTATCTTGGTCTTTACACGGTCACAGAAATATCATCCGTGACATTCTCCCACACCCAATCTAGCACGCCCTCGTGCTAGGGGAGAATGACTCCGCCCAAGGATCGTACGTACAGTACTGCCACAAACACATCAGCTTACTTGCTGAGTGGCCACCCGAGTCCTGCACTCTTCGGACCCACTCGCACCCGCGAGCCAACAAGAGTGGAGTCGACAACAGCCAACCTTCCCGCCCGAGTCCCCACTTTTGGACCCACCTGCTCGGAGGCCTTTCTGGAGCGGTGCCAAGGCTGACCAATCCCAACGTGGGACCCCACGCGCACACGACAGTAAAGTATGTCCTGCTCTGATACCACTCTGTCACGGGCTGAGAGTCTGGCGCAGCACACGGCGCCCGTGCGGCGTTCTGGAGGACCCCATAATCCTCAAGACAAGCCTTACCACATACGGATCACACTGGTTTCGCCCTACCATGGGCTCATCAGAGAGGCGGCACTAGCCCCCGACCAGTTGTGCACACAGTCCGAAAACTGAGGCAGAACACCCCCAATGCTAATGTCACCCCCTTTACCCATATTGTGCGAGACTAACCAGCGGATCGTTCATTATCTTGGTCTTTACACGGTCACGGAAATATCATCCGTGACATGTAGCTTTTCAGACTTCGTTTATATGCCCTGATCAACGTGGATTGAGTTTCCCATACTGTTGTAATGATATTTAAACATTTTTTTTAAAACAAGTTAAGCAAATTTGACGAAACCAATAATATTAATTTTAGCACACCAAACCTATAATTTTGAAGAATGTCCAAATATTTCACCGCCTGAGCCTAAAAAGAAAGGATTGTTTCTTTACAATCGTTTCAGAAAAGTAGAATAAATAAATAAAAAGATGGACGATGAATATTGATTCCACAGTGGGATATTATCATGATGATTCCTTCTCCCAGGTTTAATTAAAGAGCCAATCGAGATCTCAATCTCTAATATCATAAGCATTAATGTAATAATAAGATGAATCAAAATTGAGCGTTTCAAATTGCCAGCAAAAGTCAAGTAAAGAAGCATCTCGTGGTCGTAGCGTTCACAAGGGGAAAAAAAACAAAATGGAAGCACCTCATTGACATTGCATATCAGAATTCAGAATCTATGCGAATTTGGAAGCAAATATTATGCAATCTGCGTTTATTGAGTAATTTAGAAAAAAAGAAAATGAGGGGAGAAATGGGTCAACGGAAAGAAAGGAAAGAGACCTCATACACACTTTTATGTCATTTATTTTTTTCCCCCTTAAATATACATGATACATTATTGTAGAGAATAAAAATCCACTTGAAGAGCGGACAGACAAAGAGAGCTAGTGGTGATCAAAACTAGCCATGACAAACTAAGCCTACACATTACTGCAACTGACAATTCACAAATTACATTTTACTGTGACATTCATTATCTGAAAATGATCATTTAAGCACTTCATCCGACAACTTAGTAAGCTAGTTCAGAAGAGATCAAATCAAACCAAGAGTATTGTGATCTTCTCTTTTGTCTACCATAAGGAGAGCGTGAGCGTCACTGTATAATGCATCAGCAATCCGTAGTGTTCTGTAAAATGGTCATGAAATTAGTGATGGGCCAGTGCCTAAGGTTAAAGTCTCAAGATAATGAGTTATAATGAGATTGTTAGGTGTCAACACTCCTACAAGTATATTCATAATATGGTCAATCCACCTAATGATTTTTCATGAGCTGACCAATAAAGACAGAGGACATGAATGGACTTGACCGGGAAGGATACAAGCCAAGCCACTGATAAGCCGAATGTCATTGAGTTTTCAGGGTTTACAGTCATCCCTATGAACTATGAAGGCAATTTGGCTTCAATTTCATCCCATTGAGCAGTGTTTATTTTCTTGAACTTCTGCCTGATACGCTTAATAAGATACTTAGCATCATCAATCTTTGAAATGCTTATCAACCCATTCACAAGTCTTTCCATTACTGAATAAGGTGGAAGCCAACCATGCTTCATACTTTTCTTGGCAGTGAACAACGCGCCCACAAAGTCCTCCCCTTCGCACAGGAAAGAAATCAGAGTAAAGTAACAGGTGGGACTGGGTTTGATGTCTCTTGCTACCATCTCACCTAACAATTTCTTAGCTTCGTTCAACTTCCCTTCTTTACAGAACCCATGAATCAAATGGCAGAAAGTAGCTGTGTTTGGCTTCACGCCCCTGGACATCATGCCATTGAGCAAAGCCTTCGCTTCAGATGATTTCTTCATTTTACATAAGCTCTGAATCCTAATGTTGTAGGTGGTAACACCCGGTTTAATACCATACTGTACCATCAGTTTCAACACCTTTCCTACGTCTTCCAACTTTTCTTCATTGTAAAATCCAGCAAGCAAATTCCCAAAAGTAGCCTCATCTGGCTTTACACCTTTTTTATCCATCTCAGTCATTATTGAATATGCAGAACTAGACTTACCCTCAATGCAAAACGCCTTGATTGCCACATTATACATGTCAAGGTTGGGTTCTATTCCATATGTTTTTGGGAATTCGAGGAAAATTCGACATAACTCCTCGTAGTTCTTAACAATTTGACAAGCAACAAACAAAGCATACAACGGTTTAGCGGAACGAGCAATACCGAACTCATCAAGTTGCTTGAAAGTGAGGATGGCATCTTCAAGCATGTTGGCTTGACCATACCAGATAATAACGTGGCACGCAAAACCCTCGTTGTTATGAAAGTCCGGGCGGGTCTTCAATTCCTCAAGAAATTGACGGATACCCTCAAAGTGTTTGGATGCGGCGAGCTTGGAAATGGCGATGGAGAAACAAATGCGATCGATATAAGCCTCAGGGTTGAGCGTAGCGGAGCGACAAATCTCGAGCACCCGTAGTGGGTCCTTCTCGGCCTTGAGACGGGCGAGAACCGGCTTCGATTCCACCCTCGAGAAGGGAGAAAAGGGACCTGGCCATTTGATAATGTTAGCCTCAGGTGAATTTGAAGATGATGCGACTGTGCAGTAGAAGCGATAGCGACACGCTTGGCGCAGTCGAGTAGCCAAAAACATTGTCGCTCTTGGGAAGGGGAATCTAGGGTTTTCGGCAAAGAAGATGATGGGTGAGGTGATCGTATGAGGGCGCGATGCGTGATCCCCTGTTGAGTCTCTCGATCAGAACCGCCGATCAGTTTAGCTTCAGGTGATCGACGGGGATTGAACGCCGCGTTTTGATCTGAAAACGTCGAAAAAGAGGAAGATCCTTTAGGGATTTGAACCCGACGTGAATCGAACACGCAACCTTCTGATCTGGAGTCAGACGCGCTACCATTGCGCCACGGATCCAGGCTTTGTGATAGGAGTGACAATTTTAAGATAATTAGAAATCTTTGAGTTTTGACTTTCACAAAGACACGATAGAAGTATACTTCTTTTTGTCAAGATGGTAAATATTTTTTAAAAAATTAAATATTTAAAAATATAATATTATGAACAAGTTTTTAAATAATTTATCAATAAATGACTTATGAACATATTAGCTAGATTTTCTTGAGAATAAATTTTTTGAATATTAATTCCACCATTCTTTTGAAGATCGTAAGTGAAAAAAAATTTAGTGAAATATGTTTTGTTCTATCCCTTTTAATGTGCCATTTTTTTAATTGGGCAATATAGACAGTATTATCTTCATATATGATCATCAGGATCATTTTGTTAGAAGACAGATCATAAGTAGTTCATATGTAATGGATTAATGATTTTAACAACACATATTCTCAACTTGCTTCATGTGCAGTTACAATTTCTACATGATTAGATGATATAGCTAATATTGTTTGTTTCATAAATCACTATGAAATGGCTATACCACCACATGTGAACAAATATCCTGTATGTAATCTACCAACATGAGAATCAAACAAAAATTCAGTATCTGCATAACCAATAAGGTCAACTTTAGATACTTTGGAATAAAATAATCTCATATCCATAATATCTCTAAGATAGTAAAAAATGTGCTTAACTCTATTCCAATGCCTTCATATCGGTGAAAAATTATATCTCACTAATAAGTTAACAACAAATGAGATATCAAGTCACGTGTGACTAGCGAGATATATTAGTGATCTAATTGCCTTAAGATATAGTACTTGTGAACCAAGTAGTTTTTCATCATTATTTTGAGGTCTAAAAGGATCTTTATCTACATTCAATGATATTATTACATAATGGATGTGATTTATTCATATAAGATTGTTTTAAGACTTTTTTGGTACAAGTTTCTTGATATAGAAAAATTTCATTATTCACACATTTCGTTTGTAATCCAAGACAAAATTTTATTCTTTTCAAGTCTTTCATTTCAAATTCTTTCTTTAAGCAATTTATAGCTTTTGAAAACTCTTCAAATGTTCTAATAATATTTATGTCATCATCAAAAATAGCAATTATAGCAAACTCTTTTCTCAATCTTTTCATGTCCTTCTTTCAACAAATATTTACTAAATCGATTATACTACATACACCCTGATTGTTTCAAATTTATTTAACTTGATTGAATAATTTTTTCGAGAACTTGAATTATATGCTTTTGGCAATTTGTGTCTTTCAGGGAGTTTCACATAAATGTCACTATCGAATAAGCCATACAAATAGATTTTAACAACATTCACTAGACACAAACACAAATTGAGTCCTTCACTTATTGCAAGACTGAATAAATATCGAAAAGTAGTTGCCCACCATTAGTATGTTTCAACAAAATTAATTCCAAATCTTTATGTCAATTTTTGAGCTACAAGCCGTGCCTTATATCTTACAATTTCACCCTTTCATTTCTTTTTCTGCACAAAAACCATTTATATCCAACCATCTTGACATCTTTAGGCGTATAGACTATAGGTCCACAAACTTTTCACTTTTCAAGTGACTTTACTTCTACCTCATTTGCGTCTTTCCATTTTGGCTAATCTTTTCTTCATTTGCATTCCTTAATGCACTTAGGTTAATAATCCTCATTATCAGTTATTACATCAAGTGCTACATTATATGCAAAAATATCATTAACGTTGACTTCATTCTGATCCCATTGTATTCTATTCATAACATAATTCATTAAGATCTCATTCTATTCACACATTTTAGGAGCCTGAGTTTCTTCTGAAATTCAAACATTAGTAGTGTCAAGTGACTCTTCATGAATTACTAACTTTTTTTTTATTATCCTTAATCTGATCATCTGTGTTTCTAATTTCTTTTCTTTTTTGATGATTTTATTTTTAGAACCAATAAACCTTACACGTTTCATGCGTGCTTTAGAATCATTTGCAATAACAAGTTATCTAACAGAAACATCAATTCTAATTGAAGCATTAATAATTAGAATATGTGATTTGGTTACTTTTTTTGGGTCAATAAATGCATTTGGCAATTGATTTACTAAATTTTATAAATAAATTATCTTTTAAAATTTTAGTTCACATTGCTTGGCACAAGGATCAAGATGAGATGATAATAATTCATTCCAACTAATTTTTTTCAAACTGCCAATTTTCTCCCCCTAATGTTAGAAAAATTGATTCATTAAAATGAAATTAATAAATTGAGCTGTAAATAAATCTCCTATTAATGATTTTAAATATTTAATTATGGATAGAAATTCATACCCAACATATATTCTCATCATTCTTTAAGGACCCATCTTAGTGCATTATAATGGAACAATTAAAACATATACTGCATATCTTAAAATTCTTGAATGAAAAATATTAAGTTCTTGACCAAAAACTAATTATAAAGGGGATCTCTTACAACAATTTGTTGGTATGATAATTAATAATTCTGCATGTAAAATTGCATGTCCTCAAGTAGAAATTGGGGGATTCGACCAGATAAGTAATGGTTGTGCAATCAATTATAAACATTTAATTAATGATTTTGCAAGTCCATTTTGTGTATGAACATATGCTATGAGATGTTCAACATCAATTCCAAGAGACATTTAATATTCATTAAAAGCTTGTGAAATAAATTCACCAACATTATTTAAATGTATTTTTCTTAATAAAATAATCAGGAAATGCGTCTTAATCTAATAAGTTAAGTAAGCAATCACACAAATGTCAGGTTTCAAGAAAATAATAAGCAAACATGCCAGCATTTTGTTAATGCATGAATTGAAACCATAATGTATTTAAAGGGATCACATGATGAGTGTATAGGCCCACAAATATTACCTTGTATGTATTATAGAAATGTGAGAAACTCACTTTCTATTTTTGCTGGTAATAGTTGAATAATTAACTTTCGTTTAGAACACACAGTACATGAGAAATTATGAAATTGCGAAATCTATTGATCTTTCAATGAATGTTCACATGATTTTTTGTTTATCTTTTGCATCATAATTGACCTAGAATGGCCTAACCAGTCATGCCAAATGTTGAATTTATTACCATTTTGTAAACTTATAGTTTACAACAGCATGTATTTCAATTGTATTAGTAAATGTGTAATACAAGCCAAAGAAAAAGGTATGTACTTTTCCAAATGTGCATTTTTTTACCAAAAATTAAATTTTTGATAAGAAGCTATTCTTTATTTTTGTCATTTGTTGTCTTCAAGACCATTGGCATCTAGATATATTTTCGCAACCAGTGCCCAAGATAGATTTTTTTTTCCAATAATGTCAAGTTGAAAGATTCAACATATAGATATTGTTTATAATAAAAAATAGGATAAGAGTTAGATGATATTCAAGATTATAAAAGGATCAAATGGTTAGAAAATAGATTAAATCATATATGAACATAAAAATTACCTTGTAATGAGAAACCTTGCTACATAATAGATTACCAGAGTTCTCATACTGATAACGTGTTATGAAATTAAGCAGCTAGAAAATAAAAATACTGAGAGAAGAAGTAGAGACAAGAAAATGATAAAACTTCTTATAGATTATTGTATCCTTTAATACAAATAACATACTTTATTTATAAGCGTAGTCTTATACATCAAAAATTATACAAATGATAAAGGCAGATAAAGGATAATTAACTCTTATGATTGTGAGAGTTTCATGGGAGAAAATGAAAAAGAGGTGAAAAAGATGAACATTCATTATCCTTTTAATATTCATAACATAAAACAATTTAACAGTGAAAAAATATTATTGTAATTATAATTTCAAAGTGATAAATAAAATGTATCAAATTTATACTTAGGTATTTCCAAATAAAATTCTACAGGCCTTGGCTGTAAATTTTCCTTCATGAAACAACATTTTTTATGATACTTTTCTAAATTAAAAATAATACGCAACATATTTCTTGATCTATTTTTTTGCCAGAAATATTTCTTAATATATTAACTTAATTGTAAAAAGATTTTAAAATTATAATGTTAATACTCAATTCTAAGTTCTAACCATATGTTTTGGCTTCTCATTAATGTCATCAATCTATATATGGAGATATTTTATGGTGGATGATATTATTAATTTTCCATCAATTTTATTCTTTAAGAGTGTGTTTGGATGCATAAGTATTTGGATTTGAAACAAATCATACACCTGGATAAATCAAAGTCTTTCATGTTTTATTATAACTTTTTTACAATTTCAAATTTATTCTAGACCTTATATATAATTATTTAAAATTCCACCCCTCATTTTCTTCATGTTTTGATTATTAGAACCTTTATTAGTTTTGCCACTCCTCTCATTTTTCATTAACGTGAAGAAAATAAGTAAACCATCAATTTCAATGTTATGTTTTTGCTTCAAATATCAATTTATCTTTATTTTATCTTTAAAATTTTCTTGCACTATACAAACAAAGTATTTTAAATATAAGGATGTTAAATCTAAAACTTAATGTAAATTTACATCCATTAACCCATAACAAATGTTACTTAAAAGATTTGTTTGTTTAAATGAAACGGTAAGAGTGGTTTAAATACACTTAATCAATAAGTGTCTCACGTGACACATTAACAATGGTTTAATTTAATTGAATAATTATCAATAATTTTGTTGTATAATACTCAAAAAGTATAAAATCTCAATTTTTTGCAAGGTATGATAAATAAGGAGTGTTTTGATAGCGTTGATTGTTTTGAATTTTCAGCCAACAAAAAATATATTTTAATAATTTTTAAGTACTAATGACATTTAAAAGCTGTAATTGAGATGCTTATTAAATGAGTGTACTTAAAACACTCATTACTTTATATAAAGTTAAGAGGTTAAAAATATATTGTTTATTGTTTTATACTATAATTTGTTTGAAACTTTTTTTTT